AATTGTTGTCACACATTAAAAACTCCTTCAATTGCTCCATGCTCCTTCAATTGAGGGGGGCTGCCTGTCAAGCCTGAATCTGATTGGGTTGCGGGTTTGTTTGGATCCTGGGTTATGTTCACATGAATTGACACAGTTGGGGATTGAAAGAGGGGGGGGAAAGCTGAGGTGGAGGGAGTCTTCAGCCAAAACAACGTAGCTAGCCAATGAGACAGCTGCATTCTAACGGATGGCCGGCCAGAGGAGGAGGGATGAAGTCACCAAGCAACCAGCTCTGATCCTGGTTGGACAGTGGGACATATTGTTTTGAAAAAAATTAAGAAACTCTTACTTACGGAGGCGTGAAAAGCCTGGGAACCTTCAGCAGTAGCTTTTCACCAGTTCGTGCCCAGATGGTAGCAATAGCGCTTAGACTTACGTACTGTTTTACAGTGCTTTTACAACCCTCTCTAAGCGGTTTACAGAGTCAGCCTCTTGCAAACCCCAACAATCTGGGTCCTCATTTGACCCACCCCGGAAGGACGGAAGGCTGAGTCAACCTGGAGCCTGGTGAGATTTGAACTGCCAAATTGCAGGCAGCCGGCAGTCGGCGGAAGTAGCCCGCGGTATGGCACTCTAACCACTGCGCCGTGTAGCTAAATAAAATTTGTTCTTTTGAGGAAATGGAATGCCTCGGAGTTCGATTTGTGATGGGTGCATTGCTTGGAACCTGACATATGTCGTCACCCTTCACGCATGAAGCAATGAGCAAGCAGCACCAGCCAATGGGAGGGGAGGGGAGACTGAAAATTCAGCAAAAGAAGAAGAAGAAAAAGAGAGAGAGAGAAGTTAGCAATACCTGTTCAGAGGAGTCCTTTGTTGAGAACGTAGAAAATTCATTCCCTAAATTCTTAGGCAATGCTTGATACATTTCCTTCTCGTCTAACCTCCAATAGGTCAGCCCTGTGGGATAAAAGAGGCACCTGGATCGCAAAGAGCCCGAATGTCATTTTGGGAAAGAGAAATATAGATTTCAGGCAAAGTTTTGGCACCGGCAGGGTTTTGACGTGCAATAAAAGGAAAGGGAGCGTGTTAATTCTGCAGGCAATCAGCGCCAAGAAAAGGAAAGGAGAATTCGTCCTTGACAATATTTCAACACGAAAGGTAGCCTCTTACCCTGAGATTCCCTCCCTCTCACCTTCCAGCTGAAATAGTCTTCCCCGTATCCCGACTCAAACAGGATAAATCAGATTAAAGCATCGGTTTTCTTGCATCAGACTCAGAGGTGGCATTCAGCGGAAATCGCGGGTGGGCATGCCCCCCCCCCCAGCTCTATGCTGTCCTATTTATGCATGTTTCTGAGGCCGGGCGCATACACGGAAGGCGCACACGTGCGGGGCAAACCGGTAGTAACGAAATGTGCAACCGCACCCCGCCGATCAGACTCTCTGTTTATCTTATACTTGAGAGACCGCCTGCTGCCAATTACCTCCCACAGACCCATTAGATCTCACAGGGTCGGCCTCCTCCGGGTG